AGAAAAACCACAGCATTAACATTACCACGATCAATATTAAAGGGCCAGTTATCAGTAGCTTCAGGGAGAGCAGTTAGAGTTGAGTATAAAGAGCGAAAGCCCGATTGCTGTGTAGAAATGATATCTTCATTGCTCAAAAAATTATACAATTGGTCATAAACAATCCTTTCGAAAACTTTAGCTTTAACTGAAATGACTGAAATAGGTCGATAATTATTTAGATCAGATGCCTCACCTTGCTTAAACAACGGAGTAACCCTAGCACATTTCCAATCGTCAGGAATTATACCATAGTGAAAGGGGAAAATTTCATATATCCCATGATGCTTCGCGCCTAATTTCTGTCTTCTCTCCGCGGTAATAAGAGCGTTTGAGGGTTTTGAGGGAGATTTTCAATGACCTGAATTTCAAGATGCAGCCCATCCAAGGTAAGTTTCAATGTGTCCTGTTAATCTTTGGTATCTGATTGATAATGCAAAATGTTTCCATGGTAATTTCACGCATTATTGCTCTCGTTTACGACCCTGTTAAGCCATGCTGTTTTAACTCGCAAGTGAATATTTATTTAGATGACTTTCAATTATCGAAAACTGTCTTTATTCTAGCAATGTTTTGCGCTAATAAATTATTTAAATCGGCGGACAAGGAGTGCTTGATACTAGTTTCAGGCTCCGACCGCGATTTTTATGGATTTTATCGTTTTGAAATATCGCATTTTCTGCCCTTTCTCCGCTAAGATGCAAGACAAAGTTTCTTTATGCTAAGTCCTGCGCAGAAGGGACATTTTTTCTTGAATTCGCTCTTTTTTCGCTGATCGAAACACAAATATTATCTCTTGAGGGTATGATGAATGTTTAAATTCAGTGGGTTATAGTATTAAAGCTTTTTTGTCTCATTATTTTAGGTAAAATTGGTTTCTCATGGTGGCTTCCGGTTGCAACCGCGCGTTGCGAAGTTGAAATATACAGGCCAGCCAATGTCATGGAATAGCATGCCGTAAGACCTTAACTGGCGTATAAAACCTTTAAATACATTTTGAGAATTCTTTTAGGATCCATTGTAGCGAAGAAGCGGGTGTTTTTGTATATGTATTTTGCCATTTCTTAATAAAGCTTTTTTCTGTTTATGTTTGACAATGATGCTTAGCTGGTGTTGCGTTACGAAAAACATAGAGTTGTCTTTGTTATTTCCATTGTTTGTTGGAGCTGTTCCCCTCCACACGCGATCACAAACAAGCAACGAAGAGAAATCTCACACCTAGAATATGTATTTTTTTCATGACAAGTACGTGGAAATCGCTTGTTAATCCATGGAGAGCTTTATCAATGCACGTTAAAACAGGACGTACTGAAGCACAGACCTTCCTAGCTAGCTTCTAAGAACATTTGCGTGGACTGCCTATCATAAGGCTAGTTAACTCATAGTTGACGGCCAAAACACTCTTCTTTGACTCAACAAGTGATATATTTGGAATAGTAAAACTAAAATAGTAAATAGATCGACACAGCAAAGGTATAGAGAGTCGCTTCCACCCCCGGGTGGGTACTCCCATCGTTGTTCAGCTGTCACGTCCGTGGTGAACTGATAGGGTCACGTGCGTTCTGAAGCTTGATAATATAGTAGGAAACGATGCATCATGGGATATATGAAATTCCCCCCTTTACCATAGTGCAAAGATTTAGAGATCACATAGAGAAACTGAAATCAGATCGGCACATTCACGCATTATTATGTAGATCGTTGGATCTACATAATTTGTTTGGATGTGAGAAAACAATACTACTTACTGCTTGTAGAAGGAAAACTGAACTTGTTTTAATTTACATTGATATCATTATTGATATAACTTAAATCATTATTACTATCATTTGGTGGAATTTCATTGGCAAGGCGGGGCCCAATTGTTGAAAAATGGTCATTAAAAGCGTTAGCCGTTGTACTGTTGGTGCGACGGGAAGTAAGTTCGTTAAAAGTTTGCCATGTTTTTCGAGAATTACCTTTAGATTGACTAAAAGCATTAGAATAATAAGATGCTTTAGAAGTCTTGATGTTATTGTGTATTGTATTTCGCAACTTTTTGTACTTTGCCCAGTCGCGTAGATCATTCGATGCCATAGCTTTTCTTTTGGCAGCATCACGATCGCGCATGCCTTTCTTTAATTCTAAATTGATACAGGGTGATTTTTTTATTCTAAAGCGTCTGGTTCGAAGTGGAGCATGAAAGTTAACAACATCCAAAAATTTCGTTTTCCAGTCAGCCCACAAAACATTAGAATCATCAGAGCCGTTACAAGTCCAGTCCTGCTGAGCGATATCGTTACGAAAACTCTCTCGATTAAAATTTTTAAAATTTCTGTAAGAAATGGTTGAATGCCCTTTTTAGGGAAAAGCAGGAGATAATTTTCTATAAACGTAAATAAGGCTGTGATCGCTGATGCCAATATAAGAGACTCCGGAACAGACTACCCTGTCAGTATAGTAGAGTAGGTTCAGTTATAGGTTGTTAAAGCCCAATAAATCAGAAATTTCACATAAGTGACTAATATTTGAATCATATTGTAAAGAGGCCAGGTTACAATTTAAATCACCTAAAAGATAATATTCAAGACCAAGGGAATCTAACTTTTCAAGAAATGATTCGTAATATACAAATAAATCAATCGAAGAGCAAAGAGGTCGATATCATCTAGCTATCGGAAATGGCTTTGAGTTATGTTTACGAATTTTAATTCATAAATTTTCAACATTAGGTACATTTAGATTAGAACAAACTACAAAATTAATCGAGGTTTTTATATAAAAGCCTACTCCTCCGCATTGTCTGTTTCTATCACGACGAATAAATTCATAGCCTGGTATATGGACCTCACAGCTTTTGATAGTTTCATCAAGTTTAGTTTCATTAATTGACATAACATCGATAGAGTAATCAAAAAGGAGAATTCTCAATTAATCAATGTGTTTAGTTAGATTGTTGATGTTCAAATGGGCTTTTCTAAAACCTCGTCTAAAAGGAATAAAATCAGAAATACTATTATGTTGATTGGAAATAGGTGAGCTAAAATACCTTTGAGAGGTTAACGTGGGCTTTTCCAGTTGCGAGCTGATATAGGACAGTTTCCTAGCTCCATTAGAAACATTCCCAGTCGTTGAATAGCTGGGGACCGAAAACCCTCACCACACTGGTTAGGGTTTGAGGGCATTAAAAATCGTTCTATAGGACAAAACTGTTCTACCCAACTATTTTAGCCCTACTATTTACAGGTACAGCAAGGGGCGGATCCAGTGGGGTTGGATTGGGTGGCTAGCCACCCCCTTTTAGGACAGCCCACCAAAAAACATTTAATACGTGGAAAGACATACGAAAATACGTGGGTCCCAAAGAAATCGAGAAAACTACGTACCCAGCATAGTCAGCTGCACAGTACTGGAGGGAAACGGTGACAATACCTTTCCTTGACGTAATCTGCTCAGGAAAAGAGGGCACATTATGACCTAACTCTGTGCTCTTATTCTTCAAGTAATGAAGAGGTTTCAAGAAGCCACAATAGAACTCAAACGCGTATCTACACCGGTTTCCAACTTTTCACGAAAATCGGTCAGATTTTTCATAAATAAATAAATATATTTTAAATGGAAAAAAATCCAAGTTGAACTCTTGCAAATATCCTATCTGAATGACTCAAGAAAGAAAAAAAACCAAGAAAGGGAACTTTAGGGAGTTAAAATCCAAAAAATGTACCGGGGAAGCATGCCCCCAGATCCCCCTATAAGCTTGCGCCGTCGGCGCTCGTTTAGGAAATCCGTCAGTATTCATCCTGGATCCGTGCTTGGAACTTGCTCAAGTACTGCATGAGAAGTCGGGCCATCTGATGCCCTGCCGTCATCTTTCGAAAGTCAGGAACTGTGGGCTGGAAGGGTCAGGACGCGTGTCGGATTATGAATCCATCTCGGCCTCCTCACAGATAGACAACACGCAAACAACATCTCCTTCCCAAACGAGAGGGAACTTCTTAAAATTCTCACCGTTTTGTCTATGGAAAGCACGGAGGCGGAGAAATCATTTCCCTGTATTCGGAGAATCCATACTTGGCTTCGCAACACAATGACCACCGAACCACTCTCAGATTTGGCCGTCATCGCCAAGCATGCAAAAGCAGTTACCATCGATAGAAGTGTGGTTAGTGAGAAATTTGTGGCGCTACACCCTACACGAATGACAGCGTCTTCACTTCTGGCCGACTAGGTTAGTCAGGAATTTCTACAAGCTTCTATTTCTTCTCAGTTTTTGTGGCGTTTCAGGAGTTTGTAGTGTTACAGTCTCCAATTCGTCATTCCTAAATCGCCATGTTTTGGGACAGACGGAGGACAACTTAAAAGAAATTAACGTATGGTTTGGTGGCTGATTGGTATTAGCCATCCCCCATTGAAAATCCTGGATCCGCCAATGAGAGCAGTTTGTGGATTGTCTCTTTTTAGCGTTGAAATAGACCAATTTAATTATTATTATATATAAACTCATATACTAAAAAATGTGGGTTTGAAACTGGCAAAAGACCGAACACAGTGCCAGCTGGTATCAACAGTATTGACCGTTAGCAATTCTCAATTTCAGCAAATCTTGCGAGCTCGCCAAGCTAAAGGAGGCGTGTAATGTAAAATAAACAGCCCATATGTCTCGGTTTAATCAGGACCTGCCTGCTTTCATCCCAGTTCAATCTGGACGTGAGGTATATGCTTTGCTGACTCTAAAGCTCCCTCCAAATCACCAAGACAAAGTTGAGTAGAGAAAAGGGACCCATAACTATTAGCGGTGCTTGCGTGTTCTTCTCCGAACAGTTTAAGACCGATCTCAAGGGAGTGCTGTAGAGAATCTAGTGCTGCTTTGAAGTCTCCAAGTGAATGCTGAGTGACGCCAAGGCGATAATAACTATCAGCGGTGCTTGCGTGTTCTTCCCCGAACAGTTTAAGGCGGATCTCAAGTGCGTGCTGGTCACAATCTAGTGCTGCTTTGAATTCTCCAAGTGAATGGTGAGTGCGCCAAGATTGTGATAACTATCAGCGGTGCTTGCGTGTTCTTCTCCGAACAGTTTAAGACGGATCTCAAGTGCGTGCTTCTTAGAATCTAGTGCTGCTTTGAAGTCTCCAAGTGAATGCTGAGTGACGCCAAGGCGATGATAACTATCAGCGGTGCTTGCGTGTTCTTCTCCGAACAGTTTAAGACGGATCTCAAGTGCGTGCTTCTTAGAATCTAGTGCTGCTTTGAAGTCTCCAAGTGAATGCTGAGTGACGCCAAGGCGATGATAACTATCAGCGGTGCTTGCGTGTTCTTCTCCGAACAGTTTAAGACGGATCTCAAGTGCGTGCTTCTTAGAATCTAGTGCTGCTTTGAAGTCTCCAAGTGAATGCTGAGTGACGCCAAGGCGATGATAACTATCAGCGGTGCTTGCGTGTTCTTCTCCGAACAGTTTAAGACGGATCTCAAGTGCGTGCTTCTTAGAATCTAGTGCTGCTTTGAAGTCTCCAAGTGAATGCTGAGTGACGCCAAGGCGATGATAACTATCAGCGGTGCTTGCGTGTTCTTCTCCGAACAGTTTAAGACGGATCTCAAGTGCGTGCTTCTTAGAATCTAGTGCTGCTTTGAAGTCTCCAAGTGAATGCTGAGTGACGCCAAGGCGATGATAACTATCAGCGGTGCTTGCGTGTTCTTCTCCGAACAGTTTAAGACGGATCTCAAGTGCGTGCTTCTTAGAATCTAGTGCTGCTTTGAAGTCTCCAAGTGAATGCTGAGTGACGCCAAGGCGATGATAACTATCAGCGGTGCTTGCGTGTTCTTCTCCGAACAGTTTAAGACGGATCTCAAGTGCGTGCTTCTTAGAATCTAGTGCTGCTTTGAAGTCTCCAAGTGAATGCTGAGTGACGCCAAGGCGATGATAACTATCAGCGGTGCTTGCGTGTTCTTCTCCGAACAGTTTAAGACGGATCTCAAGTGCGTGCTTCTTAGAATCTAGTGCTGCTTTGAAGTCTCCAAGTGAATGCTGAGTGACGCCAAGGCGATGATAACTATCAGCGGTGCTTGCGTGTTCTTCTCCGAACAGTTTAAGACGGATCTCAAGTGCGTGCTTCTTAGAATCTAGTGCTGCTTTGAAGTCTCCAAGTGAATGGTGAGTGACGCCAAGGCGATGATAACTATCAGCGGTGCTTGCGTGTTCTTCTCCGAACAGTTTAAGACGGATCTCAAGTGCGTGCTTCTTAGAATCTAGTGCTGCTTTGAAGTCTCCAAGTGAATGCTGAGTGACGCCAAGTCGATGATAACTATCAGCGGTGCTTGCGTGTTCTTCTCCGAACAGTTTAAGACGGATCTCAAGTGCGTGCTTCTTAGAATCTAGTGCTGCTTTGAAGTCTCCAAGTGAATGCTGAGTGTCGCCAAGGCGATGATAACTATCAGCGGTGCTTGCGTGTTCTTCTCCGAACAGTTTAAGACGGATCTCAAGTGCGTGCTGGTCACGATCTAGTGCTGCTTTGAGGTCTCCAAGTGAATGCTGAGTGACGCCAAGTTGATCATAACTATCAGCGGTGCTTGCGTGTTCTTCTTCGAACAGTTTAAGACGGATCTCAAGTGCGTGCTTCGTAGAATCTAGTGCTGCTTTGAAGTCTCCAAGTGAATGCTGAGTGACGCCAAGCCCATGATAACTATCAGCAGTGCTTGCGTGTTTTTCTCCAAACAGTTTAAGACGGATCTCAAGTGCGTGCTTCTTAGAATCTAGTGCTGCTTTGAAGTCTCCAAGTGAATGGTGAGTGATGCTAAGATCATGATAACTATCTGCGATGCTGGCGTGTTCTTGTCTCTCAAGAGGGATTGACAAGCCCAGTGCTTGCTGTTGGGCTTTAAAGGCTTCAGAATATTTATTTTTTTGGGAGAGAAAGTTTCCAAGATCCATGTAACACGCGGCAAGAGCTTCGCTGTGCAAGTGGTAAGCGGAGGAATTTTCGTCGCAACGACTGAGAGCTGTTTGATGGTAACTGATTCTTGATTCAACGAGCATTTTAGTGTCTCCACTTGTCTTGAATAAGGTTATAACATTTCGATGAAAACGAAAGAGACCGCTTGAAACGTGCTGCTCTATTTCGATCTCTTTCAGCATTTTATGCGAAATATTTCGAAGATGTTGCTTAGTAACAGTATCTACGAAGTTCTTCGTTGCCTTGGTTACTAGGTCAAGTACTTGCCATCTTAGAGGATGGTTAGAAAGAATGCTAGAGTCTTTCTGGTTTTCTTCTCTTCCAGTTTTTCTCTCTTTGCTTTTCCATGAGGAAATCAAAAGCAGATCGGTGTCTCCTACTGCCTTGCATTCCTTTTTTGCAGTGTACAGTAACTGATTCAAGTCAAGCATATGGTTTTGAATTTGGGAAAAATGACTAAGAATTTGGAGAACAACAAGCCTAAGGACTGCCAAATCTGGGCTCCCATGCATTAACTGAAGAGCCTCTTTCAAATACTGAACTCCTTCTTCAGTTTTAGAGCTAGCAAGGTAGTTGATGCCTAAATAACACAGACGTTTTCCTTCTGGTTCTGAGTTGGAAACTAATGGCAGGGCCGAGGATTCTGCCGTTTCCTTCGCTCTACAAAGCAACTGCGTCGTACTTCCCTTCGGTACCCAACATGCTTCTGCGAACGCCTTTGAAACCAGTAGCTGACTGCAAGACTCGTTTGCCTCCAGCCTCTTCGCAGCCTCAATTGCTGAATCGTAAATTTTGAGAAAGGTTGATCCCTCTAAGAAATAAAGGTTATCAAGAAATAACTCTCCCTCAGCTAACACCTCAAAAACTGCGCGTGCTGTAACGGGATCAGAAAGAGACTCCATTAGGCTTTGAACAATGCTTTGCTCATCATTATAGAATGCCAGAAAGGCCTCCATTGAATGACCAGTGAGATATTTCCTATTTAACTTCTCAAACAGTGACACGTAAAACGAATGCAAATGGTGCTTTGATTTAAGGACCGTGTCTTTCATTTCATTTAGTCCCTTTTCTCTTGCAAATGTTTGAATCAGCTTGTGCATCGTAAAGAACTCTTCCTGCAAACCTAAATCAAGAAGTGACTTTCTCCGAAAGCTTTGCAATATCTTCTTGGTCTGAAAAGTGTTTTTACCCAAAACGGCAGCGGCAACCTCACTACCGAAATTATCAGGAAGAATACTCAACGATACTAGTGCTTCTCGTTCCTGTGCATTCAGTCTTTGGAAAGATGAGGAAACAAGAAATTGCAATCTGTGATTGGGAGGATGATCTGCGTTGTCTAACATCTCGATGATACTCGCTGAAGCGGAGTGCTGAATGAATTCATCAAGAAATTGGCTCGGTTGAGCTTTATATTCAGAAATCGAGCAGCACAATAATTTAATTGCTAAGGGTACAAAGCCACAGATTTGCGTGATTCGCCGACAGTCCAAAGAACTGACGTTTGAAAGTAATTCCTGAACTAAGGTCTGAGCATAGGCTTCTTCCAGTGTTCTTATCCTTACACTCTTGTGGCCTTGAAAATGTACGTTCATAAACTCCAGAGACTCCCTCGTTGTTACTACGATTGTCAACTTTTCATTGCGCCTGAGAATTTCTTCAATGAGTTGTAAAACATCTTCCTTTACTTCTGGGTCACCACTTTCCAATAAATCGTCAGCATTATCGAGAATGAAAAAAGATCGTTCCGAAATTGCGTTTAATAGCTGACAAATCTGATCATCAAGAGAAAGACGCAAAAACGAGGGCTGTTCATTTATGACAGATGGCCTGATACAGCCGAGAATCTTTGAAGTTAGAGCTGCTTTTGACCTCAGACCACGTAAGGACAACCAACAGACCGGCATTCCCTTGTTTCGGAGATCGTGTCCCACCGCAATTGCAACAGATGTTTTTCCAAATCCAGGTGAACCCCAGATCGTCACGAGCTGGGTAGTATCAGAAGTCAAGTGACCCATAATCTCATCACATTCGCTTCGACGCCCAGTAAAATAAGGAACCATTTTGGGGAGGAAAGTTTCCAAGGGCGATGGTCTCAGACCTTTAGACGTAAATAATAAAGAATAACAGTCAAATTTGATTCGCACTTCTTGGTGACCAACGCAAACACAAAGAAACAATGAAATTTTAACGATTATTTTCATGGCCTTTGAAATCAAAAGAAGTAAAAAAGCAAATACATAATGACCAACTATAATATAAAGATGGCAATTTAATTTAACTACCGCCACTTTAAGTAACTCAAATATGTGACCGTCCAAATGAGAACTCAGTGCTAATGAAGCGATTTATTCAGTAACTTCTTTATATTTCAGTTACGTGGAGTGCAGGTTTGAATTCGATCAGGCAACAGTTAGCAGGCTAGGCAACGGTACATAATAAATTTCTTTACTTCAACACAAACTGACTAACCCTCGTTAAACTTTGGATGATAATAATGTGTACCTAGCCTGATTATAAGGCGTTTCTCGGGGAGAGAAGAAGAGAAAAGCGAAAAGAAGATAGAGCGAAGGGATAGAAACTTCCGTCCTCTTTCCCCCCTCCCCCATCTAAGATTTCCTCTCCCCTGAGGAAGGCCTGATACGTAGGCTAACGTGTACCCCGCTCTGGCATGCATTAATTAACAATTATTCCTCGAGCCCGAATGACCCCGAATGGGCTTTTGACTCAGAGGCAATGAGGGCGAGAGGAATAATTGTTTTAGCAAAATCCAATTGAGTTGGTCAAAAATATCGAGAAAAAAAAACTTTAGCTAGCAAAACGCAATTCAGCCGCCATTGTTTTGGTTTTCAAAGGCGGCGCTTTTCGCTACTAGTGGGCTATAACATATAGCCTAGTAGTAGCTCATCCAATCAGAACGCAGCATTGATAATAGTTGGATTTTACCAATCGGTAAGACCTTTTCCAAAGGAAAAAAAGAACTCGAAACTGAAAAAAGAAATTAACATATGTCCATTCACTAAAAAAGTTGTAAAGGTCTAGAATGTGAAATTTCCGCTTACTTACTTTCTATTTTTTTTGGCCGATCGTTTGGCATTTCTAGTTCATTTTTTATGTGTTCCAAAATTAGTCCAATTGAGTGAAATCGATAGCGAAATAGAGGATATTACATGGCCGCGCGGAGACGTAGACCTGCGAACTTTTTGGGAAATATCATTCTGAAAACGTAAATGAAATGTTACCTCGTTGAATAAAAACGGAAGTTTCGCGGGGAGTGCTAGTGCCCGTTTAAGTCTTGATGGGGCTTTGAAACATTTAGCCATGAAGTCCGCTTATCGGGACGAAATGCAGCTCTTTGCTATAAGTTTCTTCCCAGTGATGACCTGTTCCCCGGCCTCTTAAAGTCATCAAAGTAAAAGCGTCATCTAATTAGTTACAGGAGGGACCCGACTAAAGCAGGGAGATATTGAAGATCAATGTTAAGAAGACTAAGGCGATGAAAATCAGTAAAAGGACTGGTGAGGAATTACTATTTCTCTGCACTGAAGATGGCCGTGGAATATATGAAGAATATATGTACAAGACAAGTAAGTTAATAATCCATTCATGGAGTCTCCTGTCGCACTTTGTAATACCTAATGCAATTTGTAATAAAATTGCCCCCTTTGCAATAACAGACGATCGCACTTTGTAATGAAATAGGCTGTCGCACTTTGCAATAACACTTATAGTAATCGCAATTCTCAGTATTTCAGCTGATCTTTATGGGATTATGGCTCCCGAAGAATCTCCAAACTGGAAAAACCAGTTCCCATATTCTCAAAAACACTCTTTCTTGGCATTACAGGACCGTACAACCTATACTTGTATCTGAAAATATATTTTGAGATTTTATAAGTGAAAAATTTGGAAAAAATTAACCGTCAACCGTCAAAGCTATCACCCCATTGAGACCCTTGTTAAAGACTACGTCCACACTCATGAATCCAGGTAAAAAAATATGCGGTTTCATGGCTTTCAGATTCGTGTGGAGAGTGATCAACGTCAAATTTTTCTTTGTAATAAAAATTCTTTTCAACACTGACGGGACACGAGAATTAATAGCGACATGATCAGGCAAAAATCACTATACTACTTTTACCCGCGGATACGCAAAGATTTCTGATTAAGTGGTTATTTAAAGGCTTAAGCATTCTCTTATTCCTTCCTTGCTTTTCCATATAAGTCGTTTTTATTCTAAGCGACATGGGAAAAAATTACCCTTAGTATCTCCTTGGGTTTTCCAAGATATCGTTACGTCAGTAACAACGGCACAATATAAAAGTGGACACTATATAATATATTGTGTATACTAAACTAACCTACCTTTGATAACATTATCATCGTCTCCTTGATAATGAGGCCATCTTTTGAAGACAACATCATCATTTAAAATCTTGGCAACTAAAGAAGCAGCATTAGCACTTGCAAATTGGTTCCATTTTTCATTTGTGCTCTCTCTTCCATCTGCATAACTAGAAATTCCCTTTACAACAAGCCATTCAACTTGGAGGTCAAATGCAGCTTTGTAAAGTCCTGCAACAGAAACAGCGGCACCACTCATAAATGGGGCCATTGAGTATAGCTGATAAACGTATTGAATTGCAGGAAAACAAATTAAAAGATGCGTCCTCACAACCTGTAAATTTTTAAAAACCTCAAAGTATAACTAAGAAATGAAATGAATGGCAGGATATCAAATTGAAAGGTGCGTTCTCAAAACCTGTAAATTTTAAAAACCTAGAAGGCCGAACAGATTATCCAAATGGTGAGCCTCTGTCTGGTTGTTTTCGACGTAATCGAGGTCGCGACGATCGCCGTTGATGAAGCGACGATCTTAGAGATTAATGCGACGATCGCAATCAAGTTTGATTACGCGCTCGTTAAATCTCGCCTTTGTTTTTAACCTGCTCCTAAGGGACCCCCTAAGGGCATTAAAAAGGACGCGTTGCTATGGCCAACCGATTTTTATCTATTTTTTGCTATAACACCCCAGCCCCCAACTTTCCACCCCCACCCCACCAGGGATTTCATTACCTTCGGCTTCGGTGTCAACGGCCACTGCCAGAGGAAAGGTTTCAGCCAGCTGTTTACGCCGCAATTCTGTATTGATTACTTCTGGAACGCTCAACAGTTCACCACTGCTATGAATTTTAACTTCTCGATCTTCCGAGTTCTCCAAAGGAGCCTCCCAGCCAAGAGCTGAATCCTTAATGAGGTCAAGAAATCGTTTGCTAGCAAACGTTCTTATATTATTGTGCAGCTCTTTATCATTTGTCACAACCTTNCGCAATCAAGTTTGATTACGCGCTCGTTAAATCTCGCCTTTGTTTTTAACCTGCTCCTAAGGGACCCCCTAAGGGCATTAAAAAGGACGCGTTGCTATGGCCAACCGATTTTTATCTATTTTTTGCTATAACACCCCAGCCCCCAACTTTCCACCCCCACCCCACCAGGGATTTCATTACCTTCGGCTTCGGTGTCAACGGCCACTGCCAGAGGAAAGGTTTCAGCCAGCTGTTTACGCCGCAATTCTGTATTGATTACTTCTGGAACGCTCAACAGTTCACCACTGCTATGAATTTTAACTTCTCGATCTTCCGAGTTCTCCAAAGGAGCCTCCCAGCCAAGAGCTGAATCCTTAATGAGGTCAAGAAATCGTTTGCTAGCAAACGTTCTTATATTATTGTGCAGCTCTTTATCATTTGTCACAACCTTCAATCCATATGTTGTCAATTTGGC